GGAAGGAAGCATATTTTGTTTTTGCATTCTGATTAGAAATTGAGTAGTGCGTGTATTGTTTGACAAACGTTGTTTTATTTTCTTGGATGGACATGTTATTAAAAATTGATTGTTTACTAAATTAGGGGCTAATATGAATGAACTTGATAGAGGAAAATTGTTTAGAATTATTGAATATATTTGTGAAAGGATTAAATAAATGAATTTGTGTATATTATTGTTGGAGAACTTCTATTTCTTCTCCTAAAAACGTTACAACAGATTTTAATCAGTTGCTTACTCCGCTAATTTTAATTTTTAATTCAAAGACTGAGATAATTTCTTCTCCCATTCACAAACGAAAAGAGCAATGAGTTCCCCCAAATGAAGGAGAATATTTACTCATTGCGACAATTGTTTTTGTCAACAACAATCACTCTCTCATAGCATATGCAACAAATTTGCAAGCCAAAAGCTCTCATGGGAGCTTCTATTGGAGCGAGGAATTGAGAGATCGGCTGTGTTGTTGTTTTAAAACAGGCATTTGGCTGCATCTCCCGCAAACGATTTGCATTACTCTTTGATACTCGGCAAATGCTCCAGTCTTTCATTGTAATTTTAGTTGTGCGCGAAATGCTTGGTGGACGGTTGTGTTTTTCTAATGAAATAATTGCAAAATAAATTATTAACAAGTAAATAAAGAATTATATTGGAAAATATTGAAATAAATAATTAATTGTAGTGTTTTAATTTAGATGTATTGCAAATAACAACTTATTGCGAACTGACAATCAAAGAAGTGCTTGTTTTTTTTTTTTGGCAAACAATAACAACAAAATTCATGTGTACACATCAATGTTTAGTTGCATTTCGTGGTTGAACTTTCGTGTTTGCTTTGTCGAGTGCTCGGTCGCGTGGTTAATAGTTGTCTCCTTACAAGAACAAAGAGTTAATGCTGATAGCAGTGGGGATGGTTGAAGGGAAGAAGCAGGTATGTATGCATTGTTATTCAAAATATTTGTATGTACGTGTGTTTTTCTACAATGGGGTTTTACTGAAATCAATGCAGGCCCAGATAGAAAAAATTAAAATTTTAATAACTTCTAAACAAATTGAGATATTTACATGATTCCAAAGGCAATTTTGTAGTGTCTTTTGTGAGGTTTCATATATATGTATTTATATTTATTTTTTTTAAAGAAAATTAAATTATTCAAATTTTCAAAGTAACGATACTCAAAATGTAGTTAGAAAAAAATTTATAAATAGAATTGGAGGTTTATTATGGTTCCATTTGTATTTATTTCAGTTTGTTGTTTCGCAAAAAAAAAAATGTTCACTCATCTACATTTTGTTGACAACTCAAAAAGCTAGCAAGATTTATTTATGATGCTAGAGAAACATAGTGCCATATAAAAAATATTGCGGGTCGGAAAAATTTTCAAGGTGCCCTGCGTTCAAGGTGCCCTCTCTCCCCTAATCCTATCATGTGATAGGAATACAACAATTCTCTCCGTAGGAATTTAACTATATTACGTTTCATATCGAGTATATATACGCCCAACATAATAAGAGGTAGTATTTTAGGAAAGTGTTGATTTTATCCTTAACAGTGTAGAATGTGTCGTTTCAACTTTGAAAGGTTCTCATATCTGCATATGACTTTCAAATGTAAAATTCTGTTTCGGCTCATCTTGATTGTGATAGCTGCTATATATCCTTTGATTTAAACTGTCTATCAAAAACGTTGTTATAAATTTTGACCCAATTTTTTATTATCGAGATTGTTCATATGACGAATTTTAGAAAACGTCATATACATGTATAAAATGTAATAAATGTAGAAAACGTCATTTGAGTAGAATTTTTTAAAATTTGATATCGGTTTCCAAAATGCTATTTGGCGTTTGTTAGGGCTCTGTGTTCGGTCCTATGTTGTAGAACATTCTTTCGTTCTACCGGCATTTGTAGTTAACACTAATTTTAGGAGGTTTCTACATCAGCCATATAAAGGTTTTTACATCGGATATTAAGCTATCCGCAGAAAAATCATATACTTGATGCCTGGTATGAAATGTCGTCACACAAGACGCGATAATGTTTAGGCTTTGGGCATGAAAATGCAATAATTTTTCTCTAAAATGATGACCTTTATCTGTTTATTTGAAATGATTTTGTTGTTTATTCGGCATATCTGGTGAATAGTGCTGTGTTCCCTCTGGAAACCAGATTGCTCTTTGCTATTAAACCATGTTCGGTAATAAATTCATTGATTCGGGATTATATCAGTTTAGAGATGTACTGAGACATTTTTAACATTCTAAAATCAAACTCATTGTGTGTGACAGGAAAATTCTTAGGCGTCACTGTGAAATCGAAAAACAGCATATTTTTTAGATTAATAAAAAACGAAATTAAAAAGTGCTAAATTGGCAAGACATGATGCGATTTTATATACATAAAAGCTAGTCGTCCTTCTCTCCCCCTAGAGTCCTTCTCTTGACCTATGACATTTTTGGTCCATGCGTTCCAACGAGTACCTTGATAAACTTCATCGTTACTTCGTTAAGTGGCGTCTTATGTTGAATTTGGGTAGTTTATACTAATTATAGTAGTCTACATCCGCCATATAAATGTCTTCACTTAGTATATTAAGCTATTGATGTATCCGCGAACTTTTCTTTTGGGATCTGCTTCATTTTTCTGATCCATTCAAAGGATGCTTTAAGTTGTATTTTTAATTTCAGAGTAGGTCTAATTTGACTTGTTTTATTTTGGATGTATGTTTCCTTGATCTAAGAAGCTGGAATATAATAACGTGTTTCTCTTCCAAAATTAAAATTTTATTAATCCTCATCCCTAAAATTAACATATTTTTTCCCGCTAATCAAACTAACTACAATTTTGTGAAAAAAAAAAAAACAAAACTTCAAGTCTCAAATTACCAAGAACAACATATAATTAAAACAAAACTTTCGCTACCAACAAAAATAACGAAGTTTTGTAGAAAAATATTGCCTTTTCTGAACAAACGCTTCAAGGTAAAAAAACAAGGTAAAAATTGCACCTACACCCTTTGTGAAGAAACGAAAATGAAAGTGTTATAATTATTACGGCCTTATGTTTTCCTCTGTTCAGAGTCCATTTGCGTTTCGCGAACTTAAGAAAACAACTTTAAAGTAATTAAACAAAAGTAATTAAGATTATAACTAAAAAAATATACAAAATAGCCCATGGAGAGATGGGTGTTTGTGTACAAGACATTGTAAGTTCTACCCAAAGAACAAGTTCAAGTGGAAAATATGAAAACTTTCTATGGAGGATTATTTAGAATTATTACCAGAAAAACAAGAAACAACGTTTGGTCCTTCATTTTGAAATATTAAGGTAATATTAAGTGAAGTCGATGTTACCTCTTCTTCCTTGTGTTTTTGCTAAATGACTTTCATCAATATTCCACGCCAAATTAAGCCATGATATTTAGGATAAATCTTGCCAAACATAGATTAACTGGGTAATCTTTCAAAAAAATACATCCTCGCTTTGCAAAAGAAAACATATTTTTTCCTTTACACCTTTGCAGATGAGAAAATAAAACCTGATGATTGTCATGGGGTTAGTAAACTTTATTGGCTGTCAATTGTTGTTGGGTCTATTCTCATTGTATTAATCAAACACTCCACTAAATATCTTCTTCAACCCACACTTATTCTTCTTGGTAAAAGTTTTCTTAACTTGGTCCTGGGATTTTTGTTGCTGAGTATTTTCCATACAAATCCTTTTGGGCTTGCTGCTGTCCATGTAGTTTTCTGTTATTGCCAAACTGAGGCTAAATATGTTCCATGGAGATTTATTAGCATTCAAGGCAGCATCGTTTTGCCTAATCCCCCAACACATCTAAAACATGTAATTTTTCATTCACACAAACACACCCACAATGGGATTCTGCCTCTCACACAACAACTGCTAACCGACCACCTTGAGCATAGATTTCACTTTTGATTTGATTACATGAAGCTTAATAATGACAAGGCCAACACCCACCCGATTGAACCCCTTTCACTTGGTCATGATAGCACCACCACCAAGAACAATAATAATAACACTAATAATGTGTTAAAGTTAAGGTGTTATTGAAAGGGTGATGTATTTTAGACTGATGGTAAATACAATGATGAAGAAAAAATGCAAAATTCAACTATTTTAGTCATGGTTTTTTCAATGTCCCACCATGGCCGTCGATTCTTTAAAAAAATTTTCAATGATCTACCGTAGACGTGGATTCTCTAGAAATATCCATATCAATGACCTGCTGTTGAATTGAGCGAAGTTGATTCACCAACTCTGCAATTATGTATGACTTACGTTCTCTTTAGTGATGACATTTATTCCTATTGTAGTACTTATCTTGTATTCTCTTTTGATCATACCTATGTACCTATATACCTGAAATAAATATCCACTGTGTAAAGTACAAAGCTCCGCATTTTTCTACAGGTTATGGGCCCAGAGGCCATTAGAAAATTGAAGGTTAAGTCATGTCAAATAATGCAGTGCGAATTGAGTCACTAAATGCTCACAATTACGATAGTGGAAATTGCAAATGAAGGCGATTTTGATCAAAGCCATAAGTGATATGGGAATTTGTCGAGGGCGACAAATCAGTTGCAAGCGTAAAAAATGATAAGTGTATTGCCAGAGATCAAAAGGCATGTGCAGATTTGATGTTGTCCATCGCCCCATCCGAATTGGGATGCGAGAGGAAATGTAAACAAGATAAATAACTCAAGATATCAAAAAAGCTCAAAGTGGAGTGAAAAAAAATGTTCGAAGAAACGAGTGTTGCTTTAAGTGTGGTAAGCCGGGCTACTTCACTGCGAATTTCAGGTCAAAGCAAAATTACAACAATAGAAAAAGCAACAGAGAACTCATTATTCAATTCTATTGATTATTTAATTCGAACTTCCCACGTGAGCCCTAATTTAAATTAAATTCATAAGATAAACAAAATAAAGAAGATCATGTGCTTAGCCTATGGACAAACGAGTGAAATGTTGGGAATAGATGACATGAAAGAAAGAAATAAAGAGTCACACTTCAATGCAAAGGACGTAATGTACGTGAAAGATCTTCGCACAAACTTAATGGCAATATCAAAGCATGTGGATAAAGGCTACGGAATTCATTTCAAGAAAATTGAGGCATTGATTATTGACAAGAAGAAAATTTTGTGCAGAGCTAGGAGAATTTATGAAAAATTCGGACAACACGGCGTATATGACAAACGAACCGGCAAATGATATGGACATATGGCATCGCAAATTGGGACATAGACGACATTTCACGGTATTGTGAAGTTTATTTTATCAGACAGAAATCTGATGTATTCGAGGCCTTCAAAAAGTTTAAAAACTTCTAGGAGAATTTCACTGGAAAGAAAATAAGGTTCCTACAATCGGATATAGGTAGTGAATACTTTAATACCTCATTCGACAAATATATAATGGAAGCCGGGATAAAAAAGATTGAGGGCGTCATATACACCTCAACAAAATGGAATTGCTGAACGCAAAAACCAAACCCTGATGGAAATGGCCAGGTGTTTACTATAACAAGGTGGTGTAGCAAACAGATTTTGGGCCGAGGCCGTCAACACACATTTTATATAAGAAATAGATGCCCAACGAGATTCTTAAATGGAGAATTGCCTTACAAACTATGGACCGGTAAGAAACCATGTTTAAAACATATTAGGTAATTTGGAGCAAAAGCGTATGTCTCGATTAAGGATAGATATAACAGAAAGTTAGACTCAAGATTAGAGGAATGCATTTTGGTAGAATACACCGAAGAAGCAAAGGCGTACAGAATGTGATCACAACAGAGAAAAAAGATAATAATAAGCCGTGATATAAAATTCATTAATGAAAACAAAAGTGAATTGAAACAAATTAGCGGAACATACGGAGAAGAAGATGATATTTTAATTAAAAGAGAACACGAATTGATAGATAATGGTATGGAACGGAATGAAACACTGAATGACAACGAAGACGAAGGTAATGAAATAGAAATGGAAAACATAACGGAAAGAGGACAAAACAACAACAGCGAAATTGTACTGGCTCTTAAAGTAAACAAAGGTAGACCACTCATTTTAAGGTCCGGTAGCAGAGGTCGTCCAAGGAAAGTAAGCGCAAAACCTAAAATGGAAGTAATTAATAACGAAGAGGAAAAGAAAAGGAAATCGATCAAGAAGAAGGTTTTGAAGACTGGGAATTTATAAACATTACATTTACGGAAGTCAAGAAGCAATGGAATCAACAGAGAAACATATATGCGAAGGAGCGATTGAAGAAGAATACTTAGCGCAATTAGTCAACAAGACATGGAACATTGTGGATTTTCTTAGATATGGGGGTGGTCCACATTTGACGCATGGTCCACATTACCAGAAGTTACTCTAACTTTAATAACTTTACATTTCCTTTATGCCACACCCTTTAAACGAATATAAATCTGCACGTATATTATCATGCAGGTATAATTCGTGTTGGCAATACTCACACATACATAGGCAAACATATGCTGCCTATTATTATCCATCGAATGGTGGTAAAAGTTGGTAAGCTTTTCCTTCGTGTCTCCATGGGCGGTTTACCTAATGAGCTGATTTACTGCCCAAGCAATTGGCTTTTATGATGTACACCTTTAAATCTATACATCTTCCTACCTCTCTATCTCGTTCTCTTTAAATCCTTTGGTGGTAGTTGGAAGACCACACAATCATACACCCAACAGCCAGAATAACCACCCAGTGAATGCGCTCTGTATACAGGACACATGATAAATTGACACGTATATTTATTGTGGCCTAAGGACAAATGCCAAAAACTTAGTTAAGGCTCAGAGTACGTGTACTTTTCAGGTTAGTTCGGTGGTAGAATTAGAAGAAAAAATGTTCCAAAACGTGCCCATTTGGACGACAAGTTTTCAATGGCCAAGCAGCCACAACAATATTACCTATGGAGCTTAAAGAAAACTGTAAACAGGTCACATAATTAGAACCCAAACTTTAAATCATTTAAAAAATATTTTTTTTAAACTAAAATTTAAAATTTTTTCTATTCCACTTCAAATCATCATCCTCCTAAACTTAACCACACACATAGAAAATTGGCTTTCACTTCCGCCTTTGTTTCTGTTTTCGTTGTTTTTTCGGTTTCGGTTGTTGTCAACCACATAAGTAATCCTCCATCTAAGCCGGCATAAGCTTGATTTTTTACCACAAAATCCTCTCCAGTCAATGAATGATTGACAAATAAATGACATTGAATTTGGTGTTTTTGTGTTGAGTGTTCGTAACAAAGGGCTGGGTGACAAATGGGGCGTGCGAAAGTTAGGCATTAAGTCTTGTAAGCCACCACAGAACAAAACGCCTCAATTGTCACATTTGAGGTGTAACAAATCTTTAATTAAGCAGCCGATTTCAGTTGTCAGTTTATTTTTACTGCATTTTATGGGTTGTTTGAGTTGGGGGTTGGGTTTTGAATGGGAGGACACAAACAACAGAAAAATTGTTATTGGCTTCATATCATAATTGAGTAAAATACTGCAGTTGTGTCAAAATGTCATTGCAGGTGCAATGATTTTATAAAAAGGATGACATTTTTAATACATAAAAAATATTATTTCGCGAAATTATGAAGCAAAAATAACAAAACACGCCAACCTCATTGAAAAAATATTTTCACATAGAAAAAATATTAAAAAAAAAATCCACGCATATGGTAGGCCATAGAAAAAATATTAAAAAAAAAATCCACCACTATGGTAGGCCATAGAAAAAATATTTAAAAAAAAATCCACCACTATGGTAGGCCATAGAAAAAATATTTTAAAAAAAATCCACGCCTATGGTAGGCCATAGAAAAAATATTTAAAAAAATCCACGCCTATGGTAGACCATAGAAAAAATATTTAAAAAAATCCACGCCTATGGTAGACCATAGAAAAAATATTTAAAAAATCCACGCCTATGGTAGGCCATAGAAAAAATATTTAAAAAAATTCCACGCCTATACTAGGCCATAGAAAAAATATTAAAAAAATGCACGTCTATGGTAGGCCATAGAAAACATATTTAAAAAATCCACGCCTATGGTAGGCCATAAAAAAAATATTTTAAAAAAATCCACGCCTATGGTAGGCCTTAGAAAAAATATTAAAAAAAAAATCCACGCCTATGGTAGGCCACAGAAAAAATATTTAAAAAAATCCACGCCTATGGTTGGCCATAGAAAAAATATTTAAAAAAAATTCCACGCCTATACTAGGCCATAGAAAAAATATTAAAAAAGATTCCACGCCTATGGTAGGCCATAGAAAAAAATATTTAAAAAAATAATCGCGCCTATGATAGGCCATAGAAAAAATATTTAAAAAAATCCACGCCTATGGTAGGCCATAGAAAAAATATTAAAAAAAATCCACGCCTATGGTAGGCCATAGAAAAATTTAAAAAAAACACGCCTATGGTAGGCCATAGAAAAAATATTTAAAAAAATCCACGCCTATGGTAGGCCATAGAAAAAATATTTTAAAAAAATCCACGCCTATGGTAGGCCATAGAAAAAATATTTAAAAAAATGCACGCCTATGGTAGGCCATAGAAAAAATATTTAAAAAAATCCACGCCTGTGGTATGCCATAGAAAAAATATTTTCATAGAAAAAATATTTAAAAAATCCACGCCTATGGTAGGTCATAGAAAAATATTTAAAAAAATTCACACCTATGGTAGGTCATAGAAATAATATGTTTAAAAAATCCAATATTTTTAAAAAAATCCACGCCTAAAACTATTTTTTATTTTTTTGAAGTCAGGGCTTTGAAGAACAAGTTTTAAAAAAAAAAATTTCAAAATCCTTTGGATCACCATAAGTTGTATTCCACTTTTTGTTTGAAATCAAATTAAATCACTAATATATTTAATAAATCTCAAAGTCATGTTTACACTTGGTAATTTAGTTTATTAAGACATATTCCATTTGGCATTTGACCTTTATGAAAACTAAGCACTATGAACTACCCAATAAACTTAGAAAGTCAGTGTAAAAACATATGGTCCACTAAACACAAATTCAAATGAGTAAAAATGAAAATAAAAGAAGTTTTGGGCAGAAGAAAAACCCAGAGACAGGAAATGACAGAATATAAAACACTTACTTAAACATGCATAAAAGTTACCAAAGTATGGCATAAAATAACCATAACACGCAGTCAGAATAGGCCACATGGCAAGGGACAGGCAGACAGACACAGCCATAGTTTGGATATATCGACACGTACACACATACCGCCAAATGTGTGTTGCCCATTTATTGGTGCTGTTAAAAATATTGTTTTTTTTTATTGTAAAAGAAAGAAAGAACAAGCTCGGTATATGCCAGCATGGAGGTAAATAAGCAACAGGAGTTCAATATGAAAAAAATTACGGTCATATGACATGCCATAAAAATTGTTCAACATTTATTGCCCAAAAACAAAATAAAAAAAGCTAAATCCTTAAATTGTTTCGATTTAAACGCCCTTTTTATGGAGCTTTAACAAATACAGGTGTGTGTGTGTGCGTGAGTGTCAGGTGGTAATGGTTTCTAAGTTATCCTTCGTTTATCCCACCATGTCTGCATAGTTTTTATTCTTTACTTCTTTTTGAAGTTCATTTGGAAGGGATGTCATTCAAACGAAATGAAAACAACATTAACACAAATTTTTACACCTTTTTAACGTTTGATTTGTAGGTGTTGTTGTTGTTGTTGATTTTTGTCTTGTCTTATTCTTCCCCTTTATTGGTGTTGATACGAGATTCGGAAGATAGCCAAAACTGACTTATATATAGGAATATAATACGGTAGGGTTGAAATAGTTGCAGTTTTGTTGTGTTGTTTTATATTGGACATTTAGTGGTTATCTAAACTGCCATAGACAACACAGGGAAACAAGGATTTCTTTATAGAAATGAAGGTGTTTGATAGAAGTTCAGGAAGTCTGTTCGTAGTATAGTCGATCCATTATTGTTGAATTGGAGTAGTAATCCCATGATCAGTAGCAAATATACAAACCACTAACGTGATGTCTATAACAGTGTAGGAATGTAAATATGTTGTTGTTTGGTTTGTGCCTTTGATATCGTTCGCAAGGTTTTAACACAATACATCACGTGTGGTGTGTGTCGACACTACTATAAATACAAAATAACATCTACACACGATAATACCTTTTCTGGTTTGTTACCATGATTTAATTGAAATTTCCCGCTGATGGTTTATATCTACTCTACAAACACGAAAGATGCAATCTAGCAGCAATTTTCTGAACTAACATATGATTTGATTCGTTTTTGAACGCTCTTCCATATCCTCCATACTCTTCGAATACACTAGTTAAAGGTCTTCTCATAGATGCGCTGAATTTATGTTACAGCTTTTCTCATAGATAAGTGAACGTCTTCTCATTGATTAACTGAAGGTGTTCTCATAGATGAGCTGAAGGTCTTTTTAGAAATGAAGTGCTTTCATAGATTAACTGATAATCTTGTTATCCAAAGCTATAAAGTCTGTGTATTGAAGAGATGTAAGTCTAGTTATAATAGATTTGGGAGGTCTTCTCACTGTAGAATTGGAAGATTTTCGCATATAAGAGCTGAAGTTCTTATCAAAGAGGGTGTGTTGAGCTGGAAGGTATTCCATAGAGAAGAATGTTGTAAAACTTTTCCTTTGAGTAGACCTTCCAGCTTCTCTATAAGTATACCATCTAGATCTTCATATAGAGGTTCTGGAAGGTCTTCTCTTATAATAGCTCTTCTAAAGCTTTATAAGTCTTCTCATTAAAGAGTTGAAAAGTTTAAAGTCATCATACAGATGAGCAAATTTTGAAAGTCTTCTCATATGTATTTTTGTAGAAGAGCGGAAAGTCTGCCTATGGCAGAGCTCAATGTCAGCTTATAGAAGAGCTTAGTTTCGACTTCATCCTTTATTGAAGATGCAATATTTAAAATCGATGCCTGATAGATGTTTTTATAGAAGAACTGAGAACATTTCTTGAAGGTGTTGACGTAGTGGTAATGACAGA